TTTGTGAAGATAAGAAAAGAAGGAGAGGATAAAGATGGTAGTACAGCGTAACAAAAAACAGTAAAGTAAAATAAAATGTGAACAAATTTAAAACTAAATCTCGACAATTACAGATAGAAGACTATTGTTGACGTTGCCGCCGTTTTCGTCATCGTCGTCATCATTGTTATGCCTTTTTTTTTCAGCCGTTGTTCGGGTCTATTCGACAGAATCTGAATTTGCATTACTGGTTTGTTCATCCTTTTCTGTTTCATGTTTATGTCGATTTGATGACGCTACGGCATTTGATAAAGCTGAAAGACGAAGCATCTGCAACTGTCGGATCGCTGCTGTAGCATTGTAGGCTTTTTTCCAGTGACGTTTCGCCAAACTTTTTTTCAAATGTGGAGCAACCAAACAGTGGATATCCTTATCACGGGCTGTGTTACCACTAATCCTGAAAGAAACAAATACATAGGTGAAGCAGTTAACATCCGTAACCAAATGCAGTAACTATAACGAAGACAATACAAGTGGAATACAACTATCTGATAACGTATCGCACACATCCCCTCCGCCCGCTTCCCAACCGCTTCTAATGAGTTCACTACCTGATTATTGTTCCAATCAACAAAAAAGAAAACGTTCTCGCTTTAAAATACTTGTTTTTTCCTCGTTTTTCTACACTGCAGATAAAATTTATGTTAAGTACTGTAGGAAGAATATGCCAATAAAAAACTAGAAATTTAAACAAAATATTTTATCAAAAATCCTGAATGAACATAGAGCAGCAGTAAACCATATTAAGTTGAATAAAAGGTGGCTAGCGCTGCTTCTTTTCCATAATCCCAGTACTCCCCTCTGCTTCACTTATTTCTCCTAATAATTCCACAATCAGTCACCTCTCATACTGAAAATCCTATTTTCTCTTTTCCAAAAAAAAAAAAGTTGGCGATCAAACATTATAAACTTCAGCCTTTTGGCTTCGTCCCACTCATGTTTTTCCTGTCAACAGTCTGTCTATTAAAAAACAAGAAAAGAAATGTTGACCGGATAATGTGCCAAATGGTGGTGCTGCTTAGTGACTAAAAAATGACGATGATAAAAATATTGCAAAAAAATCTATCTTACTCTCTATGAACTTGCTCTTTGACATCAGAACCGTCTTTTTATTTAACTAAATTTGTAAACTGTTTTTCCTGTCTTTCCACTTCTTTCTTTCCCTCGATTTTAATAAGCAGTTTACTTATAGCAACAACAATAAAAAAGGAAGAAAACCATAAGTTTATAGATGAACAGAGCTATTTGAACAATCGGCTTTAGTAGTTTGGTTTTTCTGGTACCTAATGGTTACTGACTGAACGTCATGTTGTCATCTGATTTTTACTGTAAAAATAATGCCCCAAAATGTTGACAAAGTATTGTGACTTTTTTTTTAAAGATAAAGATTCTCCGAAAAAATAGCCGCTTACATACAAACAGAAATACGCAAATTTCGTTTTTGTTTTAATTAACATGGAAAGTTTTATGTTTTTTAGGCAAAAAAGTTTATCATCCATACTCCAAAGCAACTAGTACCTCCCCTGGGAAACTTGACAATTAATAAACATCAATAAAGTTCATAAATTTTAACTTCAAAAAATTAATTTTGGTAAGCATATCCTTCGTCCTCTGAAACATCATTTTTTTCAACCTTTTCTGTCAGTCCCCAAAATCCGTTTTGCTGTTGCTATAAAAGCTGTCGAATGACGTTGTTTAAGCAGTAGTAACAATCGAAGTAGCCACAAGTACAGGCGTAGAGCAAAAAAATAATTGAGGAAAAACATAAATTAAAGCTATTTCTAAACCGGAACTTTGAGGTAAATGCTTAAAAAAACGATAAATTAAACCTGCAAAATAAAAAATTTATATGCACCCTCTGTATTACGCTAACCTATATGCTAAGTTTCCCTTTTTTCTGGTTTTATATGCCTAAATTGCATCCATCAGTTTTTGCGTAATTTAAAATTGACAAACATTAAAGAAATTAAAATAATAAAAATGAAAAATATGAAAATTAAGTGCTTTTTAATAAACTACTCAAAAGTTATATCGAATAAAAATTTCCTTTTGTTTAACACATATTTTCAATCAATTTTTTATATAAATCAATTATTCAAAAACTCCACATTTTTAATTTTTTGATTTAAACATCCCGGTAGATTGTAGACCACCTTTCAAGTGCCATCACAACAAATTATAGTCACTTCTGTCAGTTCAGCTGTGATAAATGCAGTTATACCTTCAATGACTAATTTGAAATTGTTGAAGCTAAATTATCAACTTTAAAATCTGCTTTTTGTCCAATATGCAGCCCATCCGTTGATAATTGTTAGGCTGTAAAAAACTTTCTACTATCACTGTTCTGTATAACAAAGCACATCCTGAGCAGTTTTTCTTCAAAGGGTTACTGCTATAAAATGAAATGACTTAAGATCGAAACTTTACTGTTTTAAAATGACAATGGGTAAAACAATAATAAAGTTTGGCTTTCAATTTTCCGTTCTACTTCACACACATATGCACATGCAGGAAACAGCGGGATGGAAAGAGGAAACGGAAGCAGCCTATTAACTGGAACTGATTTTTATGTCTTCCCAAAAATCATTACGCATAGTTTTTGAGCAGCACTATACTGCAAGTGTCATGAACATCAAGGCAAGAAGCTCTTTAGGATAATCTTTCGCTTTTTTTCACACCCATATTCTGTTAAATAAAAGTGATCAAAAATCGTGCCATAAATTTTTTTGAGCCTCAATGTACAAAGTAAATGAAAAGGCTTCAACAATTTGAAAACCTGCTCTATCATATAACATACGATTCATTGGGTTGCCGACTATCCTGTCATCAAATCTCTCAATTCAGTTATGAAATCTTTTTTTGCAGCTTAAACCAGAAATCATCGTTAGAAAGGTATAAGGAAATTTTACGACTTTTTTGGTAGCAAAAATAAGCCGAAGTAATAGCAATTTTCCAGTGCGTATCATCCGGATGTTGCAGCGAAAAAATTAATATTTTGAAAATTTAGAAAATTTCTCACGCCAATAACAAACTTAACATCGGTGATCCCTCAAATTAGGAATTTTCAGACACCGTTTGATGTTGTCGATTTTTACGCATTCAGGAGATCATCGCAACAGATGTACATTCCCACTAGTAAGCAAACTGCTCTAAAAGCATGATGGCTGTTCGTCCTTTATCTTGCCCCATGCTGCCTTACCTCTCCTCCCTTTCGTCCCCTACTCCTCCTATTACCCTACTTTCTGTTATCTGTTTCATGCTGCTTTAGCCAAAAAAGTGTCAACATTATTTCGAGCAAATGGTGTTAGCAGAAAAACAATGATCAGATAAACTAACCATGGATGTGCTAATGCCTGTTCACAAGTATATCTGTGTTCTGGATCGCAACACATCAAATGGGATATGAAGTCTTTGGCTGAGTCAGAAATTTCGTCCCAGTATGGTGAGTCAAACTCGTAATCGCCACGTATAATTTGCGCAAATAGGTTTGCATCATTTTCATCATAAAACGGTGGATACCCGCATAATAAAATATATGCTATAACACCAATCGACCAGACGTCCACCGCTTTTCCGTAAGGCTTTTGTTGTAGCACCTAAGTCAGTAACAAATTATAGCATCATCTTCATCATAAAGCTTATTGTTACAAAAAAAAAAAAAAA